TGAAGCAGGTTCCAGGCTCTGAGCTGTCAGCCTGATGCAGGGCTTGAACCCACGAACTGTGAGATCATGACCTGAGCCAAAGTCGGTCATTTAACCTCCAAACCCATCCATGCACCCCATCCATCCCCTTACTTTCGATCTGAAAGTGTCTTTAGGTCTAATGTGGGTCTCTTGTAAACAGCATATAGATGGATGTTGTTTTCTTATTCATTCTGTTACCTTATGTCTCTATTGGAGTATTTTGTCCATTGACATTTAGAGTGAGTACTGAAAGACATGAGTTTATTGCCATTGTGTTTCTTGTAGAGTTGGAGTGTCTGGTGGTGGTCTTTGATACTTGGTAGTCTTTGATGCTTTTGGTATGTACGTACGTACGTATGTATGTATGTTTTTTCTCCCCTCAGAGAGTCCCACTTAAAATTTCTTGCAGGGCTGGTTTAGTGATCACAAACTCCTTTAATTTCTGTTTGGGAAACTTTTAATCTCTCCTTCCATTTTGAATGGTTTATTTTCCAGCAGCATATTGTATCCATCCTTCCACTCCTTTCTTGCCTGCCAATTTTCTGTGGATAGGTCTGCTGCAAACCTGATCTGTTTTTTCTTGTAGGTTAAGAACTCTTTTTCCCTTGCTAGTTTCATGATTCTTTCCTTGACTATTTTGTGAATTTGACTATGATATGCCTTGCTGATGGTCGGTTTTTTTTATTTGTTGTTTTTTTTTTTTTAATCTAATGGGAGTCCTCTGTGCTTCTTGGATTTTGATGTCTGTGTCTTTACCCAGGTTAGGAAAGTTTTCCACTATGATCTGCTCACATAACCCTTCTACCCACTTTTCTCTCACTTCACATCTGGGACTCCTATGATTCTGATGTTCATTTTTAATGCCACTGGTTTCTCTCATTCTTAAATCGTACTCTTTGCCTTAGCCTCCCTCTTACTTTCTGCTTCATCATTCTCCAGAAGTTTGTTCTCTGTATCACTGATTCACTGCTCTGCCTCATCGATCCTTGATGCTATGGCATCAAGATTGCAGCTCAGTTATAGCATTTTTTATTTCATCCTGACTAGATTTTACTTGTTTTATCTCCGCGGAGAGGGATTCTAGACTATTTTCAACCCCAGCTAGTATTCTTATTATCATGATTCTAAATTCTGGTTCATACATCTTTCTTGTATCTGTGTTGGTTAAGTCCTTGGCTGTTGTTTCTTTCTGCTTTTTCTTTTGAGGTGAATTGCTTCATTTTGTCATTTTGGAAGTAGAAATTAATAAGGTAAAGAAATTAAGCTGTTAAAAACAACACACACACACACACAAAACAAATAAATGATGTCAGATCCTAGGTGTGTTTTGGTCTGATTGTTGAAAGGAGCTTGATTGATTAGAGAAAAAAGTGGAATAAGAAAAAGGAAAACGTTTTGAAAATTTGAAAAAATGAATACAATGATAGAATAAAGTGAGATTATGGAAGTAAAATAGAATTTGAAAAATTTACAAAAAAGTAAATATAGTAGAAAAATAAAGACATATTTCTAATAAAAATTGAAAGTAAAAACAATTTTTTTCTCTTAATATATTCAAGAAAAAAGAAAGAAAATTGAATAGATGGAGCAGCAAATAAACTGAAATACAATTGAAATTACATTGTTTTCACCTAGGAGTCAACCTATGAGCGCATTCTAGTCTAAGCAGGTGGGGAGACATGTGGTGTTCCTGAAGAGGAAGGTTGGCTCAGTTGGGCGGGGCTTAGTGTTATGGCTCCATTCTCCACTAGTTGGTGTTGTTTAGCTTACTGGGGTGGATTGTTTTCATGCTTGTAGGTGTGAATGCACATGTGCAGGACAGGTAAAAATGGTGTCAGCCTGCTAAGTAGTCTCTAGGATCAGAACTTTATTCTCCCTGATCAGGAATCTCGCACCGGTCCTTTGTCTCGGGTTTCTGTCAACTTTTGCTTTTACTCTGTCCGTGACCAAGCCTTCAGATTGCCAAGCGACACCTCCCTCCTTAATTTTATCTCGGATGCATCCTTTTATCCCAACCCCTTACTTCTGGCAGACTGCGGCTTTGACCAGTTCTGCCTCTTTGTGGGAGGGTGTCACCAAGAAATAGCTAGCTGCACCCAGGAATGTATGCGGGACTGTGCTGCTGCCAATGCCAAGAGACTGTGGCTGGGTGCTAGCCCACCCCAGAAAACATTTACGGGATTGTGGTAGCAGCTGCGTTTCAGGGATTATGGTAAATCACAGACATCTGGCACCAGGCTTCACTGATAACCATTTTGTTTCAGCACCAGCAAATGTGGTTCTCCAGGATCCGCTGGAAACTTTGCCTGTGGAGTGACTGCACTGTCTCTGCCAAGTGTCCTTCAGCAGAGGAACTGCCTCTCCCCATGTATCCCAAGGACCCCAGACTTCACTCTGCTCTTGGTGATTCACACTTTTTAGCAGAGCATCTCTAGGTAAGGAGCTTCAGAGTTTTGGACTCCGTGCTCCCCGTTTGTAGATTCTTAATGGAATTTAAACCCTCTCCTTTCTTTTTAGTTCAGTCCCTTCAGCTTTTTCCATGTTCTTTCCAGCTGCTTTTTTGGGGGGGGTGGGGTTCCCATACCTCCCTTCCCCCAGTCCATCCTCTCTCCGAAAGCAAAAACAGCTCCCTAGCCTCTGCCGTCTCTCTCCCCCCAGTTCACCTCTCCGTGCCACATACCTGCTGAGTTCTCTGTTTCTGGTTGTGCAGATTGTTGTATTAATCCTCAAATCAGTTTTCTATGTGTACAGGGTAGTTTAGTGTTGATCTGGCTCTATTTCATAGACATGTGACACAAAAATAATCTTCCATGCTGTTCTGCCATCTTGGCTTCTCTAAAGCACTCAATAACTTTTTAATAAGAAAATGCCATCAATTATTTTATAGGAAGGCAACCCCTTACTGATAAGAGCTGGCAGTAGTGTAAATAGTGCTACTAAATATCAATAACACTTAATCAAGTTGGCACAGATTACATTTACCCACCAGATCTAAAATGAAAACATTTCATTTTTAGGATTGTAGTTGTAAGAAAAAAACACCTATTTTAGGATGAGACATCAACACTGATGGCTCTGCAGTAAAGTATAAACATACACAAATTCAAAGACAATGGTGAAATTTTGAAAATACCTTGGAAAAAATGGGAGCACATTCTAAAATAAACAGCAGTGTTAGTCATTTTCTTTATCAGAAATTGGTGAGCTTTTTCTGTAGAGGGCAAGACCATGTGAGCCACGCAGTCTCTGTTGGAACTACTCAGTTCTACCATTCTGCCTCTTCAGCAGTAGAGAATATATTAATGAATGGGCCCTGCTGTGTTCCAGTGAAGTATAGAAGCAGATTTAGGACCAGGATTTTAGTTTGCCAACACTGACTTATATAGTTATGAGTGATTCTTGTAACTGTTTTTCCAAAGAAAATTAATTTTTTAACATTTTTTTGTTAGTGAATTATTTTTGAGAAAGACAGAGAACCATCAGGTGTGGGGCAGAAAGAGAGACACACAGAATCTAAAGTAGGCTCCAGGCTCTGAGCTGTCAGCAGAGAGCCTGATGCAGGGCTTGAACTCACAAACTGCAAGATCATGACCTGAGCCAAAGTTGGATGCTCAACTGACTGAGACATCCAGGTGCCCCTTAAGATTTTGTTTTTTAATACTGAGTCATAAATATTTTTTATTTTTGAGAGAGAGAAACAGAGGGCAAGCAAGGGAAAGGGCAGGGAGACAGAATCCACAGCAGGCTCCAGGCTCTGAGCTGTTAGCACAGAGCCCATTGCAGGGCTCGAACTCATGAACTACGAGATCATGACTTGAACTGAAGTCAGATATTCAGCTGAGGTACCCCTGTTTTTAAAGGAATCATTTTCAAGTTCTTCATTCCATGACTGCATTTAAGGAGTTAAAGTAGAGACATTTTCTAACTTACCACATTTTAGCAGTAGGCGTTAAATACAGTATTTAAAGTACTGCTGACATAATTTAGCACATGAAATTAATTTCATGTAGTGAACTGCATCTTCCCCAAAATATTTGATGATATTGAGTAGAATCTCTGGCAAATACCAATGAACAATGGTAATCTGAGCTTGCCATTTTTAATGAATAATTTTATTATTTTGGGGGGTTTAAAATATTGTTAGCATGAATGACTTAATAACATCTTTTCTGATACTGGGAAAGTGAATAAAATTTTATGACACAACTTGATTCAGAATAATAGTGAATTCAAGTGCCTTAGATATTATAAACCACTATCATATGATTTACCTGAAACTACAATGTAAGTTTAAATTCTCAGTTGAGATAAAATGTTTTTTACACATTTTATTCATTTTGTACTACTCAAGAACTGCCAACTCTTGAAAATATGGTGGTGGCTCAAATGAAAATATTCACTGTTCTAAAGTAACTATTGAGCATACAAATAAATTTTCTTAAGAGTGTATCTATCTTCCACCATCTGAGAGGTGGTGTGGTCTAGAAGAAAATAGCACTGGACAGGCATTAGGATTGCTGGCCACCAGTCCCAACATGGTATAAATCAACTGAACAAACTAAATGCCCAGGAACCATTAATTTATATTCTGTAATATAGGAATGATACCATTCACCTGTGTTAGGATGATAAATTAATAGGTATGCAAGTCCCTTGTATGTTATCAATAACTTAGACTCTTTCTCTTTCAGTGCCTGGAAAGATGGTAAGTATTGCTACTTCTAAATTGTGACTTAAGCTTTTGTTTTACTTTGTTTGCAAGAGAGAGTAGAAAGTTCTTTTAACAGTATTTAAACTGAGTGAGCATCTAAGCGTGTTCAACAGTCTGAAATGTAAGTATGATGCAGTTAAACTGAATACATATATTCATCAAAACATTTCACGGAGGTCTTTATGCTGTGGATGGGACAAAATCACAACAGGCAACTTTATTTGTAGAATTTGATCCAAAAATCAAGAAAAAAATAAAAAGAGCCAAGTCTCTATTATGTTAGTACACAAAATAAACCAAAAAATACAACAACATTTACCATGAGATCATTTAAATGTATTTGCAAATGATTTGATAAGGGAAAAGTGATTTACAACACGGGAAACTTCTTATAACAACCATAGACTTAAATGCACTGCACTGTAGGTCACCTAGACTAGGTTAGCAGGAATGAACAAAGTAATAGATCCAAAAGGCAACCCCCAAACACCTTCCTCAGATGGAGACTTTGGTAACTGTCTGTGGTAAAAACAAAAAAAACACCAATTTCTTTTCTTCACCATGCTGGATGGTCATTCCGTCCATTTTTCTCCCGCGATGATGAGTCCATTTTAAATACTTCAGTTATTATGAAGACACTCCAAATCCACAGAACAGCAGACACTTCCATTCTGTACATCAAGACAAAAGTGTTAGCCAACTGAGACAGAGGATATAAATCAGTGTGCATTTTCATATCTAATATGACCATCTCCATTTTGAGATAAACTCCATGAATGCTACTGAAAAAATACCAGAAAAATGCTAGAGGAGGTAAGGAAAGGAAGGAAGGACATAGGAGTACCTCCTGCTAGCTGCTGCTGGCAGTGCAAGTTTATACCTCCCAAACCATGTTTCGGATTCCTCCTCTCTGTTTCCAGGGTGTTCACACAACTTATTCACTGGACTTAAATTTGTTTTTAAAAATATACCACTCAAAGATAATTTGTCGTTGACAAAATGAATCAAAAGTAGAAGAACCTGAAGGCAACCCCAAACTGGGTTCTAGAACGAAAGGTTTGCATTATAAGAAAAGTCCCTCAATGGTGACTATGAAGGGGACAGTACATATTTAGATATATAAATTAATGGAAATTCATTAAAAATTAAAGATGTGATTAATGTTAATATCCTTTGATAATCGCCCTAAATGAATCCCAAATCTAACCCCAAAGATATACTGCTAAATAACACAGGTCTCCGCATCCCCTTGTCACTGAGTTTACTGGGGCTTGAAAGTACACTTGGGACGGTGGCTCTTTTGCTATGTGAAGGTTGATATTGGCCTTTTCCTATTGGGGCTGAATCTTAAGATGGTACTTTCCAGAAAAAAGAAAAGAATTCACCTTTAGAACAGCCATAAAAAGATGACTTGGGAGCCTTCCACTGAGAGCTGAAGCTGAGCCAGAATTTGATAGAACCAAATAGACTAATATTTTAAATGTGCTTAATCATGAGAATCTTAAACAGATGTTTTGGCAGAGATGTGACACTACCTAACCCCAGCTTCAGGTCAGCTGTAGCCATAGCTCTTCCCAAGCTTCATAGGGAGACAGGGGTCAGTTTTTAATTTCAAAGACATATGATGATCCCTCATGGGAATTCCTCCAAAAAGACAGGAAAATAATCACAATTAATTAAATCCTGCAGCAAGAGCTTCAAGTTCCTGCATTAGGCACTATGATAATTAAACAAAGCAAACAACTTCATAGAGCACTTTTTTCTAACAATGACAGCTTCATGAAAGAGCTTATAAAAATTGTCCAGCATGAAAGAGATCTTTTTTTCCCCTTTCTTAACTCAGCCATAATTAGGCCTAGTTTTCAGTTGTTACAATTCTGTACTTCAAAGGCAAGAGAGAGTACTATTTTAGTCCGTGTTCATTTGGAATTTACCTATATACACAATGTGGCTCTGATCCATTCAGACATATTAACCTTCCTCGAGAAATGCCTGCCTGTGTTTCCATCACATCCCTTGGAACCTCCCGCAAGCACTCTGTGACAACTGTTCAAGGCCTGATTGTCCTCAGGACATCCAATTACCTTGCATTTGCAAGTTGTGCAGGGAGATCCGGCCATTGTCCACACTGCGCCGCTCAGCCTGGAAATGCCATGGGCGTCCAGGCAAGTCTTTCTGATGTCGTAGGCGAGGTTATCTGCCAGACAGGGGTCACTGACACAGCGGGGACAACACTCCCCTTCCAACATGGCTGTGTACTCACAGCTCAGACTGGGGCAGGTTAGTGGCCAACAGTCCACCTCTCCTTCCTGTAGAGAGAAAGCCAAAAATGGCTCATTTTTGTTCTTACGCACAGTTTTCCCGAGGTACTGGCCGGGGAGGGTCAGTAATGATCATCACTGTCCTCACTAAATGTTTCTACTTCCACCTTTATGGGTTTACTGTGCTTCCTCCTTGAAGAGCTACTGCCACCATCACCTCCTCCACAGGACTTTTACTGGCTGTCTATACTGCAGCCTGAGAGAGAGGCAGGTCCATATCTGTGTGCCAGTGGCAGCCCATAACTATTTTTATCATCATACTTATATTCCTTCTTATTATCAGTACAACTCCAGATTTTCTTTATCTTCCTGATGCTTAGCACAGTTTGGGTAAAAAAAAAAATGCTAACTGAATGAACAAATAAGTACATAGGTGATAAGGTGCTCGTTAGTGTCTAAAGAAAAATTAACTTCTCTTAAGGTCAAAGCGGAACCTGAAGCACTATAATATTTCAACAACATCATAAACTGCATTCTTAATCTCAATTTTAAATTTGATACTGGGAAATATCAAGAGAACTACCTTTAGAATGGTTTGATCATGACATTCAGCTAGCAACATCACTCAGGTGTAGCGAGGTATCACAGTGCAGGTGGGAGCCTCTATGTGCTTCAGGATCTAGCAACTGTGGCTCCGTGGAGCTGCCTATAACTGTTTCTCTACGCAGCCTCTTCTTTTATCATGGAAATTCATTATAATTTATGAAAACTCATTTTAATGATATGGTCAGTTTCATGCTCTATCAGGTCTATCATGCTCACCATTATATCAGAGTCTAGCACATTCTAGCACATGTACATTATTGATATTTTTTAAAATATGACTCACATTATACTCAATTATTAAGCCACATGTTCAACATCTTCAGTTTTCCCAGGAGATATTAACCTTAGGGGCTGGGGATGGACATGGAAACACTTCAATGAAAATTTCATGTCTGAAATTAATCCCGATTCCTCTAGTGCCTGATGACTGGCTTCTTGAAAAAGAAATGCAGTTTTCCAGACTGGTATGGAAGCTAATTTTATAGTTATATTGGGTTTATATGCCCTTGGATGGGAACTTGAAAAAAATGGGGGCGCCTGGGTGGCTCAGTCAGTTAAGCATCCAACTTCGGCTCAGGTCATGATCTCACAGTTGGTGGGTTCGAGCCCCACGTTGGGCTCTGTGCTGACAGCTAGCTCAGAGCCTGCTTCAGATTCTGTATCTCCTTTTCTCTCTGACCCTCCCCTGCTCAAGCTGTGTGTGTGTCTCTCTCTCTCAGAAATAAATAAAACATTAAGAAAATGGCTTTCATTTGAATATATCTGAATCGACTTCTCAGTATTAGGGGTGATTCACAAAAATGTATTCTATTAAGATGATCTGCACATTCACCATGAGATGTTAGAAAATCTGAGAAATTTACAGTACAATTTCTCTAAATGCTTATTTTCATACAGTATCCATGGATTAAATCACTAATTTCAGCAAAGGTTAAACTACAGAACTCCTAGGTTCCATTATAAGTAGACTTGGTTATGGCTTCTTCATAGACAAAACATAAGATTCACTATGATTATAGAGCCTAATAGTCTTTGCATCCTTTTTTTTTTTTGAAATTTTTTTTATTTCTAGGAGAGAGAGAGAGAGCGTGAGCAGGGGAGGGTCAGAGAAAGAGGGAGACACAGACTCTGAAATAGGCTCCAGGCTCTGAGGTGGCAGTCAGCACAGAGCCCGACGCGGGGCTCAAACCCACGAACCGCGAGATCATGACCTAAGCGAAAGTCGGATGCTTAACCGACTAAGCCACCCAGGCGCCCCTCTTTGCATCCTTTGAAAACTTTGTGTGTGGTATGATTTGAAACAGAAAGAACCAAGTCCAGAAATTAAGCCTTTTCTCTGGACATTCTCAAATCTGATTATATCATCAGTATCTTTATATGAAGATTCACAATTAGGTTCACTTTTTCTATATGAAAGCTTAGCATCTGAAGCATCTAGGAAATGTTATCAGTAGTGACTATTGTATGCTAAATATCTTCTATGTGTCAAGCACTGTATTTTCACTTCACATATATTCTCTCATCTTCCTAAAAGTCCTATGAAATAGGTATTTCACTTGTGTACAAGGAAAGACTGATCGATGCAAGGACTTGCCCGAGTTAATAACACAGAGTTAGCCTGTGGGAGAAGCAAGACTGAATTCTACATCTCAAAGACTCAATCCCTGTTATTTCTACCATGTTCTATTATCTCTCCTATTGAAACTTTTATTAGTCCCAAAACATTGAAGATTTGGCTCTCTAAAAACTACAAGTCCCAGTCAAGGCTTTGAAAGCTTACTATCATGCAGACATTTCTCTTCATCTGGATTTGGCAAAAAGTAGCAGGTATAAACTAACATAAATTGGGTTAAATCTGATCCATAAACACATTCTTTTTATCTTGTATATTGTTTTTTGTTTTAAATTCCAGTGTAGTTAACATGCACTGTTATATTAGTTTCAGGTATACAGTTTAGTGATTCAGCTATTCCATACATCACGCATTGCTCATCAGAAGTACACTCCTTAGTCCCCATCACCTGTATCACCCATTCCTCCCCCGCCCAACCCTGTCTTTTTATATTGTTTTAAATAGTAGAATCTGAATGTCTTTAGGCAGAGCATATGCCCCATAGTAGCCACAAGACTCAAGCTCCCTGAATAGGATCACAAAAAGCAGAAACTAAAGCCCATAGGCAACTGAGGTTGCAACCTTTCCGGAGTAAAGGGAGAAGACCTTCTAAGCTGACCTACCAGACACCGGCACTGCTGGCAGCTATGAGTCCAGTTGTCTCCGCTTCGATAGAGCTTGTGTCCATTTTGATCTAAACATTGACTTGTGACCCTGGTGTCACACTCTGGGCAACAGAAAAGGTCAACGCTTGGATTCCGGCAATCACAAGCTGTCCGTCGGCAGAAGATCTTTCCGTCCTGTTTAGAAACGAGGTTAAGGAGGTTACATCATTAGGGAAACAGGGTGACTGCCGTAAGGCAAACCTTATAAACAGAGCAACTAGAAAGGAATTCTTAGAGTCAGAGTACTCCCCTGGCCGTCTCTGATTTTCTTTAAAACAGATGCACACGTGTGCACTCACACACATACACACAGACACACTGTCTTTCCCTGACCTTGCCTGCAGAGCAGCTCGTAAAAATGGAGATATTTCTAAGTTTAAAAAGTCATATGTTCTTTGAAACTCTTTTTTTCTTAAATGTTTACAAAAACTCACATTTATAAGTAAAATTACAATTTAAGCAGTTAAAAATGCATATATGTTCAAGAACTCGTTTAATGGGAAAACTACGCTACTGTATTTTTCCCAGTTCACAATGATACCACCAAATGCATTCCTCTAATATTATCTCTGCCTCCACTCTGGGAGGAAGTCCGACTTTATCCCTTTTACAGAAGAATTAACTGAGGCCCAGAGAGGCTAAATGATTTATCTAATATGGAGTTAAAGATCTCTAAGGAGCATCATCAAGTCTTCTGGGTTCAAAACAATTTTTCTTCTACAAGACAGGCTTTAGGCTGTTTATTGCAAGGGGCTATATCAGGTGCCCCTTCCACCTCAGTTGCCTAAATAATAGGCACAGTACAATTTCTGGAGTAATGGCCCTGAACACTTGTAAAGACTTGAAGTTCAACAGCACTCAAACATTAAGACAGTACATTTGCAGGGGTACCTGGATGGCTCAGTTGGTTAGGCCTCTGACTTTGGCTTAGGTCATGATCTCAGTCTGTGGGTTCAAGCCCTATGGCGGACTCTGTGCTGACAGCTCAGAGCCTGGGGCCTGCTTTGGATTCTGTCTCTCTCACTCTCTTTCTGCCCCTCCCTTGCTTGTGCTCACTCTCTCCCTCCCTCTCTCAGAAATAAAGAAAAAAAATATTGTGCATCTGCAGCATGCACCCATTATACACCTGTAACTTAGAGTAACGTCTCCCCTCAGACAATGAAGATGCTGAACATGTAAGATAAGACTCCTTTACAGTTATGACTCCTTTGCTGAATATTTAAAAACCAAAGAATCTCAGGGCCAGTGGTACCTTAAAGGACCCATAACCACTCCTCCTGGACCTACACTTGAACCCTCTATAGAGGGTTCAACCATATACACGTCATCAAGCCTATGCTTGAAGCTCTCCAGTCTCAAGGAAGCCACCACTATGGAAGGCATTCAAGATATATACCTGTGTTCATAACTGAATGTTAAAAACTGGATCCTATCCATGGATCTTTGTTCACACTCTAGCTAATCACAGAACTCCCAATCCCTTCTGCCACACTCTCAACTCTTCCATTCATAGAAGACAGCATTTATGTTTCCACTGAATCATTTCCTCTCTGGATTAAATATCTCTAATTTTTTGACTACTACCACTAGTTTTGAATCCTTTCACTGTTATAGTTGTGTTCTTCAACAGTTTAAGTATTTCCAATATAATAATAATCTACCATCATTTTAACATTTATTTTGTGCCATACATTGTGCTGTCTTTTATGTGCATTAGTACATTTAGTCTTTTAAGGTTTTTCTAATGTTTGTTTAGTTTTGAGAGAGAGAGAGAGACAAAGGCTCTGAAGCAGGCTCCATGCTAACAGAGAGCCCAATTAGGGGCTCAAACCCATGAACCATGAGATCATGACCTGATCTGAAGTTGGACACTTACCATGCAGGCATCTCAGTGCATTTAGGCTTGATAATTCTGTGGAGTACAATTTACACTCCATTTCTCAAATGAGGTAGCTGAGTAAAAGAACTAAATATAATTCTTCAGTAACACTCTGACCAGCACAGTGAATTGGGACTCACGGTCACCCTGTTGTAAGCACTATGCTTTATTTAAAGTAGCCTGGTTTCAATATTTACTTCCCTACCTACTATGGTGATGTCATGGTGTTGATTTATATTGAGCTTAATGAAGACTAAAACCTCATTAAGCCCTTTCCCCATCTTGTACACTTAGTTGTTTGGGGGCAGTAAGTATAAAACCTGATATTTATCCTTATTGTATTTTACCTTGTTAGATTCATTTCATCTCTCCTGGCTGTCACAATGTTTTCTAAATGCTGTTTCTGTCATCCACCATAGTTTGTCCTCCTTCACAGCTTAGTGACATCTGCAAACTTGATGGACCTGCCATCAGGGTCTTCATCTACTTCATCGATAACAATGTTGAATAGGACAAGGCTTGTGGAGACAAGCTTACTGTCAGCTGAAGTGGGAGTCTTTAAATGCTTTACATTTTTTATGGAGAATAGAAAGGAGACATGCTGGCTATGTATATAATAACATAACAGGTTGAAGAGCGCTTTTCCTCAAAGCATGTGCATTTTCTCTATTACTGCATAAAATGACAAGAAACCATAATTTTCTAAGTATCAAGGGATGACAGATTATACACATAGACACTCAAGTTAAGCAGATGAATTGAGTCAGAGATTATAATTAGCCCGGACAAAGGATTGTCCAGATTCTAGGACTCTTCCAACAATAGGCCCTTATTGTAACTCACTTATGTATTTTGCTCATGTAACCACTGCCCAGAAGGACTCCTTAGTGATTTATTTTAACCAACAGAAGCTAAAAAGAAAATAATGATAGCTACCATATAAAACCATTTGATCAGGTTAGCCACTGAGGCCAAGTATTACTCTCCCCAAGTGTAGAAGGACCAGGCCTCCATAACCCACAAGCACTATCCACAAACCACATTAAACAGGGACAGATTGTTTTAGAAGAGGCTATTGTACCACAGGCAGTAAGGCCCAATCAGAATGTCAGGTTTCTCTCCGCATGTGGGGATTTAAAGAATGAATAAGCAGAATAGCCTCCAGGGTTAGTGCAAAATAAGGCAATTTCATATCTCATCAATTATGTGAAAATGCCAAATAGGCCCCTCTTAGGTTCTAACATATTTTAGAACAATGGCTATGTTCATTTTGCCTTTTGAATTACAGAGTAACTGTCAAGAAAATCATTTTTAATAATGAAAATGTCACAGGTGGCTCCATTAATTCAATAAGAATGCCATTACAAAATCTCAGCTAACAGAACACAACCACATTAGAATATAAACTTGGCAAGAAAATTGAGCTCACGGTTGGTGAGTAATCCTTCTCATGGTAGATCACTGGGGTCATTCCCAGAGCTTGACCTCAATCCCAGCTGGAGTGGTCAGAACAAGCCTCATCTAAATGCCAAAGATGTATTTTTTTTTACCCTTCTGCTGTGGAAGCTAAATGCTTTTATGCAGTTTTATAATGGATTTCAGCTATAAACAATGACTATTATACATTTAAGTTGCTCCTGAATTTTAAGAAGTAGGGACATATACTTTCCTATCAAATAAAAAATGAATTTATTCTTATTATGCCAGGGAAAGTTATAGGTTTTATACTATAAATGACACATTTTGTTACTGAATAGTCAACACATTAATTTATTGACTCCAGATTGCAGAATATCACTTTTTTACCATAGTTTTAAAACTTTTAAATCAAGAAAGTGGAGGTGCCTGGGTGGCTCAGTTGGTTAAGTGTCTCACTTGACTTCAGCTCAGGTCATCATCTCACAGTTCATGAGATCAAGTCCAACACTGGGCTCTGTGCTGACAGTGTGGAGCCTGCTTGGGATTCTCTCTTTCCCTCTCTTGCTGCCCCCTCCCCAACTCATGCACATACACTCTCTCTCTCTCTCAAAATAAACAAACACTTTTAAAAAAGAAAGTGAACTTAGGTTATTTATGTAAATTGAATAATAATATAACCTGGGGTTTGGCAAACTGACACCTACAGTCTAAATTTGGCCAGGCACCTGTTTCTGCAAATAAAGTTTTATTAAAACACACCTTCCCTTGTTCGTTTACATATTGCCTTTGGCTGTTTTCACAGTCTAATGGCGGAGTTCAGTATGTAAGACAGAAACCTTATAGTTATGCGAAGCCCATCTGGCCCTTCATAGAAAATGTTTTTTGATCTCTGATATAAAGAGTAAAATTCAGAGTGGTACTCTAGACCCATCTATCCTACCTTTTCACATACAAATTTTTGTGTTGTGATATCCAGTTGTCTTTACAAAATATTAATTTGGCTTCAGGTTACACCACACAACCAGTCCGTTTGCCCTCTCTAATAAAACTCTTAACAGTCATTCAATCCAAATGCCTCATTTTAATGAAGAAGAAATCAGGTCCAGAGAGGGGAAAGCACTTCTCCCACAGAGCAAATTAGTGACAAAACAGGAACCAGACCCCACTCTAGACATTCATAGCGATGATTTTCCAATATGCTGCTTCCTTGTATCATGAGGAGGCTGAAGGGTAGGATAAAAGGACTTCACACAACTCAAATCAGAAGGATTCTTGGGGCCATGGTTCTCAAAGTGTGTTCCCTCTGACAGGCAGCATTAGAATATCCTTGGAACTATTTAGCAATGCAAATTGTTGTGCCCAAACCCAGACTTACAGAAGGAGAAAGTCTAGGGTATAGAGTCAGTGATCAAAGTTTCACAAACCCTCCAGAGGATTCTGGTGCAAGGTAGAGTTTGAGACCTCTGGTGGAGAAATAAAGTAACCCAGTCCATTGGGGAATTAACATGGAATAACCCACAGGGTTTGGCAATGAAAAGCCAGGGTTTGCAACTACACAGTGGAAGTATGAAGTGAGGAGAACAGAAAAGAAGACCCTGTTCCCTGACAGGACCCCTAGAGTTTTGAGGGGTTTGAGGGGTTTGAGAGTTGGCAGAACTAAACTTGCCAACTTGTTCATGTTTCAAAGAGAAGGAAGCACAATCTTATGGACCACACAGGCAACTCCTTCCATCAGGAACACGCCAGAGAGGAAGGTATTAACAATTTCACTGGTTAGGTTCAGAGAGCAAAGCAAAGCATTTTTATGAGTAAACTGAAGGATTTCAGAAAGCTAACC